TGAACTGTGCATGATATCCTTCATGAACAAGTTCATTTATAAACTAACCGCTCATAATAAATGAGTTTGATTTTATTCTCTTAGAAACCTGAAAAAATTCATATAGAACGTGTGTGATAAAAGAATAACTGTTGACGTAATTTCGAGTCGACAAACTCGCCAACCTGTGGCCAAAGTCACCTTCGAAATCAAATTTTGTCGAAACATCAGCGTTAAATTTAATTTCGAAAGTTTTTAGCTTAAAAAAATGGCAGCACTGGAAGAAAAAAATTATATTTCTTACAAGTATCATATAAAATTGAAACTTAATGATGTAAACTTACTTTTGAAATATATTTAAAATTTGGATTTTGTTAGGATTTAATATTTATATAATTTTTTAAAGTTTCTATATACCATTTAAATTTTATATATATGAGCTATATTAGTAACTGAAATTTATATAGCGGTTCTTATATTATTTTTCAGATTATTGCCAGAATTGTGACTTACTTTGAACTAGGATTGCAGGAAATGCAAATGGCATTAACACGCAAGTTTATGAAAACTTACATCAAATGCAGAAAAGAAACTTTTGAGTTTTAAGTTTATTTTTTGACGTAACAGATAAATTCTACAAACAACACTATGGAAAAGTATGAAAGTTATTTTAAGAAATAGTTATTGCTTCATGTCTGAATGAATACGTTTTTAAAGAATTTTTATGATATGCATTCAGATTTGGTTGCCAGCTCACAAGCTATTTCCATTTTTAAAAATTTTTATTTTCAATGCAAATGAGTTTATTTTTCCGATGATTTCTAATTTTTTATTCATAAATAAAGCACTCAATTTGTTAAGTGCATTCTCTTCATTTGTGAGAGTTCTATCAGATTTTATATTAGCCTTTAAATTAAGTTTTACTGCTGATATATTATAAGTGCAGAGAAAGCAGCTCCTAAGAAAATAAAAATCCGAGTAAATATTGTCAAACGGATTCTGTAAGGTTAGATATAGATGTCACAGAATTATAATTTTTCCGATTATATAGATATGCGAAATTATATTTGTCTGGATCGCTTATTCTAGTTTATAGGCCGAATATAACTAAAATGGTTAATTTATTTAAGCATTTTTAGTTTTCTATTTGGTTGAATTCTGATTTTAGTCAAATAAAATATAGTTCCACTAATTAATTTTACAAAAATAAGTGCTTTCCTCCCTTTATGGAAATAAAAAAGCTATCTTTTTAACTCTATAAGCTTTGTTGAAATCAAATAAAGGAAGTCTTAAAATGAACGCTGAGATTACCTGAAGTCCGTATTATGTAAAATAGATTAAAAGCACTTTTATTCAATTTAGTCATTCAGAAAGAACGCGATTAAAATCAACAAGTTTCAATATGTGTACTATTAACAAAAGGCTAAACATCAGAAAGGTCTTCAGTTTCCATACTCTGGCAAGAATGTCTGGTACAACGTTTGCAGTTGCTTTTTGTCGTTGTCTTCTACAGGTGCGTAAGATTACTAGTTTTTTCACAGTAAACCTCATTTTTGACAAAGCCTCATAAGAAAACTCGTAGTAAGAAAGAACGGGAATTTTTGGGAGCCACGGAATAGAGTAATTTCTGACCAACCACCATCCTTGAAATCTATTCAACTTGTACACGATTCTTAAAACGGACTGTGTTCCATTTTCATTTGCTCAACTTGAAAGGAAAAAAAAAGACCGTAGCATGTTCAAGCACACAATTAAATTGATATTAGTTATAAAAAATCATTAGGTGGGGCTAGACATTAATCTCAGAGAATTCTTAATGTGATTCTGCGTTACATGGAAAATTTGACAGCCTCAAATTCTGCAACCGAGGCGATATAAACAATTACTTAACATGGGACGCGACCTCATTCAAAAAGAGGATATTTTAATGAAATTTTGGTTTATTGTAAAGTTTCTCAGGCATATTAACAAGTAACTAATCTTACCCTACTTAATGAATAGCTCAATTGAATGTGTCAGATGATTTTCATAAGAATGTAATATAAATATATAAAAAGTAACAATACATTCACATAAAAATACATGGATTTGAGCAAGTGAGTAAGTGCTTTTGCCTATTTCACACAAACAGCATCAGCATATTTTACAAGGAATTCTTCTTCTTTGCCCAGATATTTGTAATTCTATTGCAGCTAATAAAAAATACAGCTCCATAATGAAATGTGAACCCAGTGAAAGCAGATATCGAAGAAATGTTAAGAAAATTTACACGTAAACTCAACTCATAATTCTATATAAACAAAATTTATTGTTTTATTGTTTACGATATTCAGTATTTAGAATACAAAGTTCACTTATGTTATTCGAGATTTGGGCATTTTATACAATTAAACATCAGTGCCAAATTTAAAGCATGGACTTAAATATGTCTAATATTACATATTACATAGATATTAATATTACATAGACATAACTTAGACTTAAACATTTCTAATATTGTCAAGTATTAGACATGGTTAGAACAAAATTTAGAACTGTTGAATCTTAAAACTGATCATGTTTCAGGTCTTTTGCTCTCTTAAGAATCCACTAATGAACAATTCCTTGTGAAATATACTTTTGTTTCTTGCTCAGTAGATATTAAATGAAGTGTAAGTTTATATAACTTAGCATGTTTGAGTTATGTTTAAAATGCTAGTTTTGGCATCTTTTCTTTCAATAATCTTTGCTTTGTATTTAGTTAAAAGAAACTAATTATCAGAAAGTGTATTTAAATACCTCTCACAAAATTACATGTTTTATAAAGAATCTCCTTTACCTGCAGTTTATAAAAGGATTATATTTCATTGCTGAGAAGCAACTTTTGCAACCTTACTAAATCTTTGATTACAAATACTTTTCCTTGAATATATGATAATCCATTAATAATAAACATAAATTACAAAATGTAACTTATGTTTATTAAATAATAATATAACAAAAATAGATAAAAAAATCCTCTAAAATCCTTTAGAGGTAATATTCTTAATTTATTTCTAAAGGATATGAAACTTGAGCAAGAAAAACGAAATTAAATTTTTTATTGCCGTTGTCTATTAGCCTACTGAGCATAAACTGAGTTGTTTCCCTTTAAAAATTATTTCAAACACTTCAGTTGATGAATGATATTCCCTTAATTCTTCCTACAATGTCAAAAATACGCCAGTATTATTTAATACTCTAATAGTAGCTATTACATTATTACATTTATTATTTTGTTTATTTATTTTATAATACGTTAAAGTTTCACACATTTTCTTACTGAATGATCTGAAAACTTTTGTCCATAAGACTTTCAAAACCATTACGATTGTAAATGACTTTAGGTTCAAGACCATAAAAAACATATGTGATAATCTTGAAGCTTTGAAAGTTGATGATCTGAAAATCTTGCTTGCTGGTGATATATTTGTAGTGCTTCACATTTAAGGAATGAATATGTTATTTATGCCATGAAGAAGTGTTTTTTCTCAAGATATGTTTCATCTTAATTTTGGTAAAATATCTGAGTGATTTAATTTATATATGCACATTCAAGTGTTTTTTTCTGATTTGTTTCTACTTAATACTTCTTTATATACTGACTGTTAAATTATTGCAACTTTAATATAATATATTATTTAATTCATTTCTAAACTTACACAGTCAAAAGCAGTGCGGAATTTATAATGCATGTAAGTAAGGTGATGGAAGTTGAAATTTTAGAGTTTGATTTAAATTTAAGAAAACGGAAGACAGTTATAAAATGTTTTGGAGTGAGAATTTTTCAAAAAAAAAAAAAAATTGAAACAATATATGGTAGATAAAATGAAAGTCTAATTGAAATAATGATTCCTTAATGAAAAATAAAAAGAGATAAAATGAATTATTTAAACTGATTAAAAGCAACTAATTATATTAAAATAGCAAATACTGACAAAAAAGAAAAAAAATGGAGTCTTCCTTCCTTTCAACAAGCATATTTAAATACATGGCAGTACATCCATACATTTAATATAAACGAACGTGATCAGAAATTTTTTACAAAGTTATTTACAATCGTACAATTAAAAGCACACAGTCGTACAATACAGAAACAAAATGCATTAAGGAAACTGAATAGAATATTTTACATCATGTAAAAATCATTGCATTTTATTTTAATAAAACAGAAAGAAGCTCCTCAATCATTTCCTGAAGTAATTAATTTTTAGGAAGGCAAAAAATTTGGAAATGAAATAAACTTCGTTTTTTAAAACTGAATTTTGTTCCATTAATTAAATTAACAATTTTTTAAGAGCAGTATTTTTCGTTCGTTATTTAATTTCTGTAGCTTGACGATGATGTAAAACTCATATCACAAGTATCTTTACTTTCGAAAAGTAGGAATATTAACACTGGAAACCTGTCAAATTTCACAAAATTATAAACACTACAAAAATACAAATAATTTTATTATTTCTATCACAGTTATTCACATTACTCTATATTTAATTATGTAAAGCTAAGTTAAAAAAAGATTAATCAGTTTAATTACAGTAAAAAAGAAACTCTATGCTTTTCAGGAAAGCAAATAGGAATTGAACTATCATTTAAATTTTTCTTTATTTATATGTGAAAATAATTAATTATTTTCTCCCTTATTTATTCAGAACTGAATATACGAACTTAAGACATAAAATGATAGTTTATTTAAATTCATAAATAAAGAAATTTATTATTTAGAAATTACAAAATCATACTGAGTTGTGTTATTTTGGGTAAATATATGAATAAGAAATAGTAGTGGTATACATTATAATTCTGATCTTTTCCCTTAAAATGGATAGAAGTCACCAGCAGGTGTTCGTAATAATAATATTCATGCAAGCAGATGGCCACGCATTTTCCATCATACCTGTCGAGACGACATTATTTTTCCTTATAACCCGCATCTATGTAAATAGGATATTTTTGGTCTTAAATGGATTAAAATAAGCTTTTTGAAAGCATCATAACCTTACCTTTTTGTTAAAAATCAATAGTTGCGAACAGACGAGAAACATAGTTGTTCCAGTTCAAGAACTATTGGCACATTGATTTAAAAACGCGTTAAATCTTGCGAATTCAATCATTGGAATGTTCTTATTTTAGATGCAGCTGAAATGAAAAGTCTGATACGGTAAGTGCTGCCATCTGGTGAAGATAAAATTCAAATTATCGCAAGGGACTCTTTCTGTTATTCTTATATTTTTGAAAAATTACTTAAATTTTGAGAAAGTTATTTATGAGTAATAAATTGAATTTATTTAAAATTTGTTTTTTAACTATTCGTAAGTTTTAAATGAATAATTCTTATAAAATAATTCATTTTTGTATTACGAAAGAAAATGGGGAAAGATATATATATATATATATATTTTACTCATTATTTTAATATTTTGTTTGATCTAGAATATTTTTAGGCTTTCAGCACTAAATTTGCATTTCACATTTTATGTTAACCGGCTAAATAAATATTTTAACTTCCATTATTATAACTTATTTATTTTTCTAAATCCTGTTGTGCATGTAGAGGATTTTCAAGAGAAAAAATTCTCCTTTTTAATGATATAATTTACTTTGAAAATAACTTCCTCATTTATTTTCCTTTTTAAGTAATGACATATTTCAAAAGCTTGAATTAAACTTAAGCAATTTGTGCTTAAGCAGTTTAATTCAAGCTTAATTAGTTTAATTCAGGTAGTTTAATTAATATAATGGTTGTAACTGTTCGTCCCTTCATAGGAAGCGATGGTGTCCCACCTATTGACTGCCTCCATAATAAAGAGACCACCTCTGGCCTTGTATAGATTCATGGACTGTGTTACGCTGTAACTGTTCACAATCTGCCATCGAAAAAAAAAAAAAAAAAAATTGTGCTTACTGTAACACTAAAAATGGTAAAATTGTTAAATATATACATTAATTAGTTCAGATTTTTCAAGTATAAAATTAAATTAGAGGAAAGTAGCGGTGGTTAATGAGGTTTTGATAGTTTTCATTGCTTGTAATTATGGTTTAAGCTTAAGATAAAATCTCTCTAGCTAGTTTACCATTTGTATGTACCATTTCAGCATTTTCAAAATTGTGTTTTCACTCATTTAAAAATAAACAAGACAAAATGAACCTTAACATAAAAATTAGAAATATTTATCTATCTCTCTGTCTATATATAAAGAAAAAAAACAAGTCTTTCAGGAAGGATAAAGGTCATAAAAACTGAAAGACCAAAATATTTAAACATTTAAAAAGATCAAAAAATGAGAAAAACTAAAAGTTAAGCTTCCTTTAATTAATTAATCATCACCTTTCTTATTGAACACGCAAACTCTTTTTTTAACCTAGTTGTAAATATGTTTTCCATACATTTTTAAAGAAACTATTCTTTATATATTTCAATTTATTAATACAAGAATCTCCATATTGTTACAAAATTTGTATATGTGTACAGAGACTGTTCGCACATTTTTCAGACGATTTTCATTATATTTACAGAAATAGTTTACCTTAAATGTCTGTGTTTTAAATGTTCCATTTGATAACTCTTATTCTTCACTATTTTTCTACATCGTAATTTCCAAGACAATAAAGCTTTTTTTAGTAGTGGAAAAGGTATTTTATCCCACCTCTTGGACAGCTTTCCAAGTCCAAGGAGGGTTGTAAGTTGACGTCTGGACAATCCGCTTTTTAAAAGTCCAAAAGCATAAAAACCAGTAGATGGTACATCAGGAGATTTAGTAGGGTGAATGATACATGTTTCTTGTTCCATTTGTTTCCAGGAAATTAACAGCGGATTATGACCTGCGGCTGCTTTTGCTTTGATGCAGTTTCCCGATTGATGGCACTGTGGGTAAAGAGTAGGTTGTAATATTCTAGCTAATTTAGTAGTTCTAGAAAGCTAGAATATTTAAGAACTGTGTAGCGAATAATCGCTAAGTTCTGGTAGTAAATGATTAGCCCAAAGAAGAGTTAAATTACCCTTATTCCAACACAAGATGATTCACAGGTAGCCTCCACTTGGACTTATGAAACTAATCTGTTGATAACTAAACTAAAACTAGACAAAGCTGCACAGAAATAACTAACCGAGTTGGCGTTTATTAAAGATCACCGGCGAATACTGGCAGGTACGTAAGAATACGGCCGAAAAGTCGTAAGATTAGGCTTAAAACAACGACATGGTCAAAAGGCAGAAACACGCTGTACCAGGAACTTCTAAATTCTTCTAGTGAAGTGATCGAGACTTCAACTTAATGATTTCTACCTCATTTACATAAAACGCGATCCTGAAAATTCATGCTGGTATAGCGAATCGTAGGTGTTAAACAAACGAGTATTTTGAGATTGCTCAAAAATTAAAATAACACCTTTGCTCAAAAATAAAAATAATTATTAGGAAATTAAAATAACCCCTACAAGGTATTTCATAAATGAAAATTGGATATAAAATATGTTCCTGATAATATATGGAGTTGACTTTAACAGGTATCTGAACTCTGTTTAATTTTTATTTGCCGTTATATCAAAAACAAACAACAATCATTAATATATTTGAGAAACTTTCTTTAGATTCTTTGAAACAACCTTCTCTTTGGTGATAATAAATGGATCTCTTTCTATTGCGATTATTAAAATATACCCAAGATTCGTCTATTGTGACAACATTTTTCCATTTTTGTTCAAATAATTGTTTCTGATAGGGAATAATGCAGCGTGTTCTGCTTTCGGCGATGTGTGTCTTGGAAAAAGACGATGCACATTACGTTTTCCCACCTCTTTAAGATTCAAATTAGCATTAACAACCTTGCTTACAGTTGACACAGAGCATTTTAAAGATTATGTGACTTCAAAATATTTCTACCTTTTTGAATTCGAAGAATTTCTTTTAACATTAAAGTTTCGAAACATCCCATTTATTCCTTGGATATGTATTTTGAACAATTTTTCTGTTTAACGCCAATATTTGATTTTTTCCCTTTCTTATTAACAATATTGTCTATCGTTGCTTTAGATATCGAAAAATAATGGCTTTTAGAGGAATTTTTTATAACTAAATACGAATAATTTTCTTCGCAAAAAGCACAAACATAGTCTTTCGTCTACTTCTCTTCTTTAAAAGCGCCATTTTGCATGAAAACAAAATTGTCAAATAACAGACGATAATTTGCATTTTCAAAAAAAGAATGATGATCAGAGGATTTAGAAGGAATATGAGTGAAGGGTTATAACCCTTGATACACGTTTCTTGTTCCATTTTTTCCAGGAGATTAACAGCGGATTATGACCAGGTCTGCGGTAAACTGTCTGACTTGTTTAGAATTGTTTTTGCATTCGAGGAATTGCATAATAATCAACGTCAAAGAAAACGACGAAAGATTTAACGCATTCTTTGATTACCTGGTTCTGTTTCAATGTGTCCGACAACATGCCAGTGCTCACTATCTGACGTTTGTCTTCTTTCAGCCATAGAACTATGGATATCATCAAAATTTATTCTACGAAAGTTATAATCACTTCATATCAGCATTTAAATTAGCCTTAAATCCTTCAGAATGACAGCGTCTTTAACAACTGCCTAATTAGCATTTGTTCAGGCCGTCGATCATGATTGGCTATAACATACGATGTTTGCATACTGTTATCAACAACCACAGAGATTTTCAACTAATCAAATTCAGCTGCATTTTCAAAAATTTCTAATTTGTATTTCCAGGTTTAAGTTCCGGAAGCCATTTTATGTTGTTTATTTTTTTTATCATTTCCCTCCTTTACTCTTAGTCTTTTACTCTCTAAATACATCATGTCTCTACATCATGTTTTAGATTTTTTTATACAATAAAATTAAAGATATATCGTTTGTAAGGTTTTTGCAGATAGATAATTGAACTCTGTCTGTTGTCTTATATTACGCTTTTCTAATAAACGTTTCTTTAAATACGTGCTTACAAATTACAGATTCATTTTCTTCTTAGTTTGCTTTAACAGGCATTATTTTTGTGGATCTATGACATGAATTATTACAATTTTACCATGTTTGATTTACCTAGTATATTTATCCACTTCCTTGTATTTTTATCTTGAAAATATTTCTACCTTTTTTCTCTTTTAAGTTAATAATTAAATCAAATATCGTAGCTTTTGTTTCTACACTCTCAGCTGTAAACCAATGTATATTATACACCTTTTAAATAGTTTCCTTTGAATCTGTTTTGGTGAATTTTGTACTTTTATTTGTTCAAAACTTTTCGGAAATTCCTTTTTAAAATATTTTTTTAAACATTTGATGTTTCTCCCATTATTTTTTTTTAATAGGAACAACCCATGCATATTTACTAATCTGTTACAATCAACCTTATTATTACTGTAATAGTTTTTGTATTTTCTCATACTAATTAAATCAGCTTGCAATTGGTCTTCAATTTGTAAAACATATTTTTTTTTTTGAAGTTTCGAATTAGAAGTTTATATTTAGCATAGATATGCTGTTAATATCAAAATAGTTCAGCACATTCTGCAGACAATTTTGCCTTCGTTTGTAATTTATCAGTACCATAGTCACCCATTTCAAGGATTAGAATACGTGTTTTTATAGCTTTTTCTCGCCCAACTTCCTAAAAATATTTTTTTCCGCAGTTTTCATAAATTCTTTTATTCACATACCTCTTATATTTTAAAAACAGTTTCATGATCATTTTTAATATCTGTTTTCTCTTTACACTTGACGCATTAAATTCCCATTCTAAATTCTCTTTTACTTCATAAATAGGCTAGATACATAATAATTCCTTTCAATTCTTCCTCTAAATGTTGGCTATTTTACCATGTTTGATTATTTTATAATTATTAATCAGCAACATGTCTCTGTTTAGTATTTTTTGTTTTACTATATATAATATATGTATATATATATCATGTTTCTCACAAGCTTTATCAACTCTACTTACTCCTGGCTTTGTTTTATTATAAGCAATATCATGTTTCTCATAAGATCTACTTAATCCTGGATCTCCACGTCGTAACTTTATTACTAATTTTGTGAAAGGCATATCCTAAAAAATGCACATCCTAGTAAATGCAATTA